AACATAATACACATTTGGACTTGGGGAAATACATTAAAAACTTAAAGCAAACTAATCTGCAGTCTATCTCTATAGCCTCCTATTAGTATTTTTTTCAGAACCCAAGAAAAGCAGACCCAAATATAAATCTATTCAGGAATTATTTCTTTCTTTACCTCTGAAAAATATGATTATGAAAACTACCCAAATCCCAAGTGTATCTTTAATCAAAGTTTTGTTGTTGCTGGTGGTTTTTTTTTTTTTTTTTTTGGTGAGGAAGATTCACCCTGAGCTAACAGCTGTGCCAGTCTTCCACTATTTTGTATGTAGCTCACCACCACAGCATGGCTTGACAAGGAGTGTAGGTCGGTGACCAAGATGCAAACCCATGAACCCAGACTGCCAAAGCGGAGTGTGCTGGACTTAACCACTATGCCACGGGGCCAACTCCTAATCAAAGTGTTTAATATTCTTATATTAAAAGTGTTATTCATATCCAAATTAGAGGGGAAGGTTTATAAGACTAAATCCTCAGTACAATCACTCAGCTTTCAATTTAACAAAGTCATTACTGAAAAGCAATACCAACGGCATATTTAAGAGAAAAATACAATGTTTACCAAGTGCTCAAGTATGCATTTAAGAAGGTTCTTAATTGTTTGCTCAGTAACGAACTAATGATAAAGTTGTTTCAGGATTATAAAAGCAAAAAGGAAAACAAACATGGAGAAACTAAAGAAACAGGCAGGAAGGCTATGAAAGAGAAAATTCCTAATTTAAGAAAAGAAAAGCCTGAGGTAAAGAGTTACAGTGAGTCTAGCGAGTGAGCTGAAATCTACTGGGAAATCAAGGAGACAGGATTGCCAAAAAAAAAAAGCCTTTAATAATTATACACAGCTGGAAGAGTGTCAGCTTAAGACAAAAGGATGTGTGAGCTTTAGGTTACTGAAATTTGGGAAGTAAAAAGTATATATATTTACTGTGTATACAACATACAAATGATTTGCTAAGAATTATTGTGTGTGCCTTCAAATTTGATTGAATTGAAATTCAATGTTTTCTCAAGTGAATTTTAGAACTAGTGAAGTTTTTAATTTGCTCATCCAAGAAGGAAAAGGCATACGCAAATTCTCACTGGAAATCTCTAGGATGGAACATAGTTTTATCAGCATGACCTTGTTCTCTCAGCCAAGAAAGTCTACAATGGAGGCACCAGCTGTGATAACGATTTCTCTATTGCAGAGTTTTATCTGATTGGACATAGACTTATAGCTGATTCATTGACAAAAGATCCTAAAGAGGTATCTGGTTATAAATTCTCTCTAGTCAAAATCCATCAAGAGCAATTTAAAGCATTTCAGATATATTTTGAGTATAGAATGTTTTTTCCATAGTAAAATGAACAGTCTACAACGATGGAAAAAGGTAAAACTCTAATATTTTATTTCAAAGTGAAGAAAAGTAAAAATATAGGCATTTGGACCCACTTTGCCAAATTTCACCTGAGATTTCCTGAAACAGGAAGAGAAACTAACTCTATTTCAAGCATGAGTTCTTTATTTTCTTAGTATTTGTCTACCAAGAATAAACCCAAAGGAAGTCTAAAAAGATTGCTTCTATATAAACTAAAACAGAACTTACTGTTAGTAACGTGGAGTCTTTGAAAAAGTCAAGGATTCTCCAGTTCCTTTAATTATTTCTTACTCTTTTAAGCTTGTTCTTCCTTTTTCATCCTTAAGCCTTCCTTTTCTGTCCTCAATTCTATTCTGTACTTACCAGTCTCACCTTCTCTCATACCTCCTTCTCTTTTTGTAAGGAAGACTGGCCCTGAGCTAACATCCGTTGTCAATCTTCCTCTTTTTCTTGAAGAAGATTGTCTCTAAGCTAATATCTGTGCCAATCTTTCTCTATTTTGTATGTGGGACGCTGCCACAGCATGGCTTGATGAGCGGTGTGTAGGTCTATGCCCAGGATCCGAACCTGTGAACCCCGGGACGGTGAAGCAGAGTGCCTGAACTTAAGCACTACATCACCAGGCCAGCCCCTGTACTCTTTATTACTATCAAGACTCTATTTGCAAACTCTCTGCCACCAGAAATGAAATCTTCAAAATTGGGGAAAATAAGGAGAACACCTTCATTTCAATGCTTCCTTTCTACTGGCCCTCACCCCAGATGTATTCTCTTGCACACACTTCTGTGCTTGCTGCCTTTTCCACTTAGAAACTTCACCCCCACTGTCCTACCACCTGATACACCCAATGACAAAAACAGACCTCCAAATCCCAATGAGTTTTCAAATTTCACCTCCATCTTCCAAAATGCCATCTAGACCATTCCAGCTCACAATGCTCTTGCCTTTCTTCTCTAGAACCCTCATAATCTGCATGATACTTTTTATTACACATTCTCAATATAACATACAAAATTACTTGGACTACTAAAATCAAACAAGCTGGAGTTCATTTATCAGCAGTGTGCTCTTAAGCAAGTCATTTCTCTAAGCCTCAGTTTTTTCAATCATAAAAATGGGGATAGTAAGAGTTTAGCACCCTTGCTCATAGGGTTGTTATAATGATTAGACGAAATAATTCATGCAAAGCGCCTAGTACAGAATGAGCACTCGATAAATACTAATTATTTTTATGTTGTCAGCTGTCATTGTGCTGCTTTTTATATATCTTAAGAGACCAGCCAGATTCTAGGCCCTTGAGGGCAGAGATTACATCTTAGAGATGTTTAATAAACACACCTTTAGAGAATTTACGACTAAACGACACAATGCTTCCTAAATAATGAGGCAGAGGGAACTTTTATTTTTGGTGAGGAAGATTGGCCCTGAGCTAACATCTGTTGCCGATCTCCCTCCTTTTGCTTAAGGAAGATTCTCTCTGAGCTAATGTCTGTGCCAATCTTCCTCTGTTTTGTATGTGGGATGCTGCCACAGCATGGCTTGATGAGCCGTGTGTAGTTCCCCACCCGGGATCCAAACTGTGAACCCTGAGCCACTGAAGCGGAGTGCGCAAATTTAACCGCTATACCACTGGGCCAGCCTAAGGGGACAATTTTAGCATGCTACTGCACAGAATAAGGCCAGGTTTAGGAAATATTAATTTCACTACACATTTATAGAATGCCCCATTATAGGCCAGGTGTTACTCAGTAGGTTGCAATAATTTGCATGGTATACCATGAATACTCACTCCAGAAATTGCCCAAACTTATCTAATAAATATGGAAGTTGTATACTAATAGATAGACTGTGCAATTACCAGAGATTCTTCCTCCACAGCCAGGTGTGTCAACAGAAAGGATCGACTGTGGGCTGTGTCGGGAGGAGAGGAGCTATCATGCAGATCTTTAAGTAAAGAGCAAGTACTTTTACGGGATGCTATAAAATAAATTTAGATGACCTCTAAGTGTCTGTGGGGTATTCCTGATTACTGTTCTCCTAAAAATTGCAAGAAAATTTCCAAGGTATTTCTTGGTTCACTGCTAAGGTGGACAACGACCTAAAAAAGCCAGGTTCAAAGTTAACAGAGCTGGGTTTGTCCCACCTGTGTCACCAGGCAAACTTACACAAAGCAGGGAGGAGAGAAAAGTTTGTTTTAAGCAACATACAAATACTTTAATGTGCAGCCTCTCAGTTCTCTATTTCACGCAACCCATTACCAACTTAAGAAAAGTCCTTATTTGTAAACTCACATAAAAGATAAACAAGAATGCCTTGTAACATAGAGCAAAAGCTCTATTTCAGTCCAAGAACACAGGACCATTCAAGGGTCTATTTTTCATCTTTACTAAGTAAGACTGTGGAATTGCTAAATCAAAGGTCCTATCAACTGAAGACAGACCTCCCTTACATTATGATGGAATCTCAATCGGAGAATTATTGCACCCATTTATTCAAAAATATTTACTGAGCACCTATACATCAGGCAGTTCTAGAGGCTGAAGATACAGCAGCAAATAAGAGACAATATGCTTGTTCTTAGAATGTTCAGATTCTAGTACGGGATGCGCTGATACATAAATGAACGAATGATGATATGTGGAATGGTGCCGCATGGTGGAGAAGAATAAAGCAGCAGGAGGACAGAGAGAGAAGAGGCGGAGTTGCGATCTTACACTGGAGGTTCAAGCAATGCTGCTTTGAGGAAGTAGCGTTGAAAGATGAGGAACTGAGTCCATGGAAGTATCTGGGGAAAGCGCTTTCCAAGCAAAAGAAACACGAAGTGCCATAGTCCCGAAGCAGGAGCTAAATTTTATGTAGAGATTCTGGGAGGAAAAAAATAAAACACCTGGATTGCGTCCTGGCTTTCTGCCCTTGACCACCTCAGTAACCTTTAGGAAGAAAACCGCTTGAGCTCTCCTGAACCTCAGTTCTTCCTCTGTAATTAAGGATAGAACCACGGACTTCACAAAGTGATTTGGCGGGGGAGGATGTTTAAGAAAGCACTACCCAGCACTAAGAGATTACTCCCAAGTGTGTGTCCCGAGGGCTGCGGGAAATTTCATAAAGGCTCTGCTGGCTTCAAGCTAAGACCTAAAGAAACCACCAAGCTCGTTTCCTCGTCTGTCAAATGAGGATAACGGTACCTACGTCCTCTGGCATCGAGGGGGAGTCCACGAATGAGGCCATCCCCGGAAATACAGCGACTGACACATAGACTCCTCAAGGCGTCAACGATCAACATTATGATCCCCCTGGGGGTGGGAGAGACAAGCGGGCAGGGGGTTCGCTCCCCTGCTCAGCACCGGACGCCCAGGGCGAAACTCTGTCAGGTCCAGTGCAACACTTTGGACTACTTGGAAGAGTTTTCCCCCACGCTCCCAGTCTACTGTGACATTCTAGCTTCTAAGAAACCAGCTTCACTCCCTGAAGCCTTCTGAACACATTCAGGTCCCATTTTAAAAGGCCTTGAAATCGTGCGACCATCAAACGTGAACTTCCCCAAAGCTGCTAACCACCATTTTAAAGCACTCTCCGCAGAGCAGCGCTACCTCACTAACCTTTCGCGCCAGAGGCCCGCCTTTTAGAACGTGATGACGTCATCTCGCGTTGCGCGTGCGCAAAAACAATGGCGTGACCACGCCCAGGCCTGCGCGGAGACCCGGCGTCCGCACAGTGGCCTGCGCCTTTCCGGAAGAGGTCAGAGTGCGGCTTGGTGAGTGAACTTCCCACCCGGTGATGGGCCGCCGGCGGGAGGGTGCCCCGGCTGTCGGAGGGCGGCGCACATACCCGGAGGGCCGGTGGGGAGGATGTTGTTAGAGGAAGAGCTGGGGTGATCAGGGAAGTTCATGCGTCCTTTGGGTGTAAGCGGGAGTTGGGGTGGCTGGAGAACTGGTGAGTCTTGAGACGGTGCGGATCTTCGGTTCAGAAGGCAGAATTTGTCTTGAAGTTTGTCTGAAGTGCTGATGGCGGGCATAACAGAAAAGAAGTTACCATGGACTAACTTTCCGGGACGCTGCATTTGAAACTGGGAAGAAGGCAGCGAGGATTGGCCTGCCGTGATCTTAGCGGGAAACATCTGTAACTATACCCTTGCGGGCGAGCCTGCGAGCGACTGCTGTCCGTGGTGCTGAAGACGAGCTTGCGGTGCCTTGAGGAGGAAACCCGATGAGGGCAGGACGGTCTTCCTGTTTCCCTTGGCTCGGCTCAGCGCCCTACGCTCAGACGTGTGTGCTGAAGGAAGAGCTCAGTCTTTCTATCGGCGCTGGACACTCAGCAGACAGTGTTTAATTTCATAAAATTTAGGAAAGCCAATGCTACATTCCGGGAAGGAATTTCATTCCTGTTTTTTTCTCCCTTAGGGCAGGCATCTTCCGCTTTTGCACCCAACCATATGATTTGCCTTCAGGCTCTGAGCCTTCAGAGCACATCACTAGATCTCAGTCTGTATTGGTCCAGGCTCTTCAGCCAAGGTGAGCTTGCTCATGTACCACGAAAATGGGTTTTCCTTAACTCCCTAAATGAGAGTCTTGAGCAGCCAGGGTAAGGTGAAGGGACCAATTGTGCTTTTTGCCACAGTTATACATGAAAAATACTTTCCTATTTGGAAAAAAGATGCTAGAACTGGGCAGTCTTCCAATAAAGGAAAGACCACAAGTTTCCAGTTGATTCTCATACTTGTTTGCCTTTCTGTGTGTGTGTGCACATGCATGAGGGATGGTGTTCCTGCGATGAATTTTACAGAGTGGATTTTTTTTTTCTTTCTGTTGATTCAATAAAAAGTTTACTAGTCTTAGTACCAGCTGCTTGTTTGTTTTGAGTTCTGATTAAGGTTAGAGTGTGGGAAAAAAGAGGGGGAAATGTGAAATATGTCGCGTTTACCTGATTCATGGTGTTCTTGGATGCATCTAGCATATGAAAAACTATGCATCATAAATAAAAATGGTTTTTAAGTGCGTTCTTTTATACATTATTATATCTCAAGTTTTATTTTTCTCTTCTGTGAGAACTAAGGGGTTGAAGTACTAAAACGATCAAATGTTGCAAAACTGAGGATATGTGGTAGAAGTAACTTTAAATGTTTTCATTATTTAGCAGAAAGCTTGTAAGGCAGTTTTGACTAAAAATGAATTCCTTGTTTGCTCAAGAAATTCGCCTTTCTAAAAGACATGAAGAAATGTAAGTTTTTTTTTAAGTTAATCTAAATGTATAAATTGTACTGGCTTTACTAGTGAAATGTGTGCACAGCAAAACTTAAAAATCTGAAAGTGTCATTTTAATTTTCTGACACTTGAGAGATTTGGTGTTAGGGAATGTCACTGTCTCTTAAGAATAACAATTAAAGGGTGTAATTATGTTCTATATATTTTTACTTTTTATTGCTAATATCTAGATAAATTCATCCTTACCCTCAGCCTTTCTGGGCACCACACTGATATTTAATGGACTTTTCTAAGCCTCTTACTCAGGGCTGGCTTCACGAGTATGGATCTGTGCAGTGACAGGCCCTGCACTTGGTTTAATGCTCTAATGTTGCTGTTTGAAATTACTAATACTTTTTTAACAAGGAGCCCCATTTTCATTTTGCACTGGGCCTTGCAAATAATATAGCCAGTCCTGCACATATTTAGTATTAACCCTTCTCCACCTCTATCTGTGGGCTCTCATGTTTTGCTTTTCTTTAATTAATTACCAGGCCCTCTTCCTTGGCCTTCTAAGATATTTTCCTTATAAAAATGACTGTCCAAATACCTCAGTTTGAGTTCTGCCCTCAAGAACAGCCCTATGAAACATGGTTTCTGGAGAATCTTCACAACTATTTGGGAAATGGTTAGACTGTTATATATACCGCTTATGTATTTTCTATCATCTGACATATTTTCTTATTAATCATTTAAGAGGACCAAAAATGTGTAAAGTGAGCATTTGACCAGTGAGAACCTTTTAAAGTATATTATGTATAACAAAGTAGTTTGATAATTTACTTACAACTTTTTACATCTTTCTTCAATTACTGTTTTACCTTGTTGTGAGTATGCATACATACACACAGCCTCTCACTCATATATGGAACCATCGTTTTTCCCTTGGGAAAAGAAGAAAAAAATATTTTTATTGCTTCTTCAAACATATGGAAGTTTAGCACAATTCTAAATGTGTAACATGAGATTCAGGGGTATTGAAGTGTTAAGCAGAAGGTTTCGTATAGCAAGTTATATGAATATATGTGTTGGGGAGGTATATATAAGTATGTGTACAAAGGGATATGTATTACAGTTTGCATTTTCACCAAAAATTAACACATCTTTTCCACACTCTAAAATAATTTTAAAAGATCAGAGAGGCTAACAAAGCAAAAGCATGTACTTATGGTGTTTATCTTAATGAAAATAAAAATAATTTTACCCAGATTTAAGACTGATTGAACTACCTAAGGTTTTCATTGTCTTATCAGTTACATAATAATGGGCTTTCAAAATAGGTTGAACTTGACATGAGGTGCAATTAAGAAATGAATTTTTATATTGGTCAAGCAATAAAATGTTTCCTTTTAAAAAAAACTTTATACAATCTTCATTTTGTCTAGAGTATCACAAAGGTTAATGTTACTTCAACAAATGGAGAATAAATTTGGAGACCAAAACAAGGAAAAGGCATCTCAGATGCAAGCAGCTGAGACTGCTTTTAAAAGGAACCTTAGTCTTTTAAAGGTAAGTTTCCATGACCTGAGTATAAATATTTTTCCCACCTTTGCAGAAAGGTTTTAAGGGAATTTCATAGTTTTGATTTATATAATTTCTTTGTTATGAGTAACAAATGGAATTAATGAAGCACCATCTATTTTTTTTAAACCTATGTTAGTTGGATAAGTAGCACATGGATTCTCATTTTTCAAAATGAAAAAAATCAGTTTGCTTAAGCTAAATGTTTTTAATCAACCATAAAATCAAAGACTACAGAAGGAATTTTAAGGTCACCTTTGTTCAAGAAGTAATAAATGCAAGATGTAGCTTTCCACTTTCCAGCTTCTTTTATTTGTAGGGACATTCTGAAACACCATAGAGTACTACAATGTATTTAGATCCAATTCAAAACTATTCAACATCATAAAAACAAGAAAAATTTGATTTTGCCCTACTGGAGCCACAGTCAACACACGGAATTCTTATCTAAGATAACAGATTTTCCAGATCCCTTTCGATGGTGATGGAGGAGGTGGTCAAAGTGTGCGATTGCGCAGGGCCTCACCATTTGGCCAATGTGCCCATTTGGAGTAAAATCATATGTGTAACATTTTTGGCTGCTTGCTATACTTTGCTTCCAGAATTGTATGGCTTCATCCATAATTAAAACCCTAAAGTTTGCTTCCATTCAAGCTTCCAAGAGATCCTATGACTAAAACATTTGGTAGTAAGGCTATATTATTTAAGTTATAAAGCAGTGTTTTCGTTTTTTATTGTTAAATATTTTCATCGATAGGCATAATATAGTTATCTTCTATCCTCACTAGAGGATGAAGGAAGAGGAAAATTCAGTTATCTTCTCAGCTTCTGGCAGTTTGATCCACAGTAATTTAAGTCACAGCCATAGTGCTACCAAAGCATTCTATATTGCCATATGTCTTACTTGCCCAATGGTGTTTGCAATATTTATTTTTAAATGGAAATATATAGGATAATCTAGAATTTGCTATGAAAAGTCAGAAAAACTAAATTAGAAGGCTTGAAGGCTTGATTGCTACTCACCTGCAGCAAATGCAGGTAATATTTGGTTTTCAAGCATCTTCCTTTTAATGAGCAAGTATTTGATGAGTGCCCAGAGGGCCTTACTGTTGAGCTAGTTCTAGGCAGAAAGTGGGGACAGCAAGATAAGTATGAATCAGAGTTCTTTACATCAAGTAGCTAATGGGCTTAGTTGATGACATAAGGTTGTCACACACAAAATATGAGACCTTATATGACCAAACATTAAATTATATTGAATACTCAGCACTGTAGGAGTAAGTGTAAAAAATCTTTGAGAGCTAGAATATTCAAAGAGGTCTGAAAGAGGAAGCTAAATTGGAGCTTTGTTTGAATAGGCAGAAGGCAAGACATTTCATTGGATTCTTAAAAAACAGCCGAGACCAGAAGAATGGTTGGCCCTATTAATGCTCGTGGGACCTTGAGCTTACTAGCTTGGAAAGTCACGAGAAACGAAGTTGGGTATGAATGGTGAAACAAAATGAAGAAATTGAGGGGCCAGCCTGGTGGCACAGCGGTTACGTGTACACGTTCCGCTTCGGCAGCCCGGGGTTCGCTGGTTCCGATCCTGGGTGTGGACATGGTACTGCTTGGCAAGCCATGCTGTGGTAGGCGTCCCACATATAAAAGTAGAGGAAGATGGGCACGGATGTGAGTTCAGGGCCAGTCTTCCTCAGCAAAAAGATGGGGATCGGCAGCAGTTAGCTCAGGGCTAATCTTCCTCAAAAAAAAAAAGAAAGAAATTGAGACTTGATATGTAGCGATAATATAGTACTGAAAGTGTTTGAGCAAAAGAAAAATAGAGACATATAAGAAACATATGAGTGTGTATTTAAGAAAGATTTATTTGCTATTTAGATGCAAAAAGATTTCAAAAATGGAGAGATTGGATTTAAGGAGAATAGCTAAGAAATCATTGTCACATCTAGAAGGAAGATGATGAACCTAATTTCATAGTCATGAGAAACCAGTTTGATGTGGTGGTTTTTTCCCTTGATTATCAAAGTAATATATTCTCACTGTAAAAAACTTGGAAGAGCAAAGATGAAATAGTGTACCTTCCATATCTTCCTGCCCATCTGTATTTTTGTGTATTTCCTTTCAGCCTTTTAATAAACGTTTATTGAGCACCTATTACATCCCAGATAGAGTGCTTGCTGTTAGAGATACAGTCTCTTCTGTTTTCTTTAACATACTTTGAATAATTATGTATGCAATATTTTTTATCCTTCTTTCCCTCATATTATTTTTTTAAACTTTGGAAATAATTTTAATGGTTCTACCATAGAAGTTATTGTGAAATTAAAATAAATAGGACGTGATTACAGAATTTTGAGTTGTAAGAGATTTCAAAAAGCATATAGGTTACATTAGATTCTCATCTAAAGGTTTTCAATTTTTTTTTTAGCATAAAAACTTTTTTCAAAGCTATAAAATAGATAAAAGTGGACCTGCTTTGGCCCAAAGCCCCTCTCGTTCAGCCCTTCCTTGCCTGCCCTGCTGTGGCAGAACTATCAAAACCACTGATCTGGCTAATCTCATAATTTAGAGATGAGGAAACCATAAGATAACTACTCCTAATACCCCTTGTCAAGAACAGGTTAAGTTACATCAGGATATATACTTAAGGACAAAGCGCACTTTAAAAATGGGTCCATTAAGAGCCAGCCCTGATGGCCTAGTGGTTAAAGTTTGGTGTGCTCCGCTTCAGTGGCCCAGGATCTGTTCCCAGGCACGGAACCACACCACTCATCTGTCAGTAGCCATGCTGTGGTGGTGGCTCAGAGAGAAGAAGTGGAAAGACTTACAACTAGACTATACAACTATGTACTGGGGCTTTGGGGAGGAAAAAAACAGAGAGGAAGATTGGCAACGGATGTTAGCTCAGGGCGAATCTTTCCCAGCAAAAAGAAAAATGGTTCCCTTAAAACCTAGAAGCATTCCTATAAAGACAGTGACAAAATAAGGATCACCCCATCACCATTGTTACTTGACCTTATTTAGATGTTCTGACCAATATAATAAACACTAAAGGGAATGAGCTTTAACCTTTGGAAAGGAAGATATAAGAATAGTGTTTTTAAATGATATGGTTATATTCTGTGTATGACTCCACTCATATGAGGAATTTAAAAATGTGGACTAAGAGAACAGATTAGTGGATACCAGGGGAAAGGTGGGGTGGGGGGTGGGCACAACGGGTGAAGTGGTGCACCTACAACATGAATGACAAACATTAATGTACAACTGAAATTTCACAAGATTGTAACCTGTCATTAACTCAATAAAAAAATGATATGGTTATATACTTAGAAAAGCCAAAATTGTTTTAAAACTAGTATATTATGAGTTGATTAAAATTAATGGATAAAAGATAAACAGACAAAAATCAATAGCAATCCTATATATACAGCTGGAAGGTACAAGACATCACATTTGCATTAACAATGAAATTATAAAATACTTGGGAACGCTCTTAACAAGGGATATGCATGATTGGTATAAGGACAATTCTTACACTATGATAGGAGATTTAAGAGAAAACTTAAATGGAGACATACATATGCCTTCATCCTGACTCAGGAGACTATTATTTTTCTAAAATAACTTGTCTCAAAGTTATTTTTAGAATTAATGAAATTACATCAAAATTTGCATGAAACCCAACAAAATTTCTCTAAATGCATTTGGAAAAATAAATTAGCAAGAATATCAAAGAATGTTTTTAAAACAGGAGCAATAAGGAAAAGACTAATTGCTTGAAGATCCAAACATACTAGTAGAAGAATGGATATAAGTAGTGAAGAAAACTCACCGTGAGGCTTTAGTCTGTAAATATCAGAAAAGATAGTGGACTTTGAAAATACAGGCTGAGTAATTTTTCCTGTTGATATTAATAAAATGAAAATTTATCTGCCTTTTAAAAACAAACATAATTGGCATGGATTTGGAAGAGAAAGAGGATTTTGTTTCTATAAATACTTCCATTATATAAACTGTCATCTCCCCCACCTTTCCCCCCACAAAATTTAGTTTAACCTGAAAAGGTGATTTTGTCATAAAAAGCATCATCTCATGAGGAAGATGGGTGAATGCTCCAGAGTGAGAAAGACTGGGATGCTGCTACAGCAGATTAGAGATGCAGTGAGTGCTTCCATTGTGGCAGGTCCTGGAAGCCTTCTTGGCCAGTTGGTAGTTAGACAGGACCATCCACAAACTGCTACCCAGCATGGCCAGTGGCTTACAGGACCACGCCTCACCTCTTTCCTCCTCACTTTTCTCACTTCTCCAATTCCCTGAAGAATAAGTTTAATGAATGCCTAAGTGTGCCTTGTACCAGGGACTCTATATCTCATGCTTTAGTGTCTTATTTTTTTCTATCCCAGAAATTGCCCCTCCAGCAAATTAAAAGATTAAATGCAGCCAGCTGTAGCTAGGTTCACTATATATGTTTATAGGGAACATAGATTGCTGGGTTGGGAGGGAGGGGCATGTGTAGGGAAGGGGAAAGAAAGAGATCTCAGTACATGATTTTTTGTGCTCATGTTTTACCTTTCCTAATCATGCATCAACTCATCTATAGAGGCTGCTGAATCCTACCACAGAGTAACACTTACACCATCATCCACAGTGGAAACTTGTTTTTTAATTGTAAAGAAAAATTTCAAACCCATGTAGAAGAGGGAATAGAAGAATGCACTTCCACGTGCTTATCACCCAGATTCAGTAGTTATCAAAACACAGCCAATCTTGTTTCATCTGTACTCCTCACCCCCACCTCCAGCCCCTCAGATTATTTTGAAGCTAATCTTCAGACATTGCATTGTTTTATATCTCTCTATATTTCAGTGTTTATCACTAAAAGATAAGGACTATTTTAAGCAAAATCACAATACCATTATCAGCCTAAGAAATTAATAATTCCTCAAATATCCAATCAAGATGAAAATTTCCCTGATTAACTTATAAACATGTTTTTACATTTGTTTGAATCAAGATCCAAATAAATTCCGCCTTGTAATTGATGAATATGTCTCCTAAATCTCTAAAGGTCCTCCGTGCCCTTTATGTTTTCCCTTTTATTTGTTGAAGGAATTGGGTCATTTGTCTTACAGAGTTTCCTACAGTCTGGATATTGCTAATTACGTTGCTGAGGTATCATTTAGTGTGTTTCCTGTTCCCTGTAATTCCTATAAATGGATAGATCTAAGTGATGCTGTGCAACAGAAATATAATGTGAGCCACATATGTAATTTTGTGTGTGTGAGGAAGATTGGCCCTGAGCTAAGAGCTGTTGCCAATCTCCCTCTTTTTGCTTGAGGAAGATTGTCACCGAGCTAACATCTGTGCCAGTCTTCCTCTATTTTGTAAATGGGATGCTGCTACAGCATGGCCTGACAAGCGGTCCTGGGTCTGTGCCTGGGATCCGAACCTGCGAACCCTGGGCGACCAAAGCAGAGTGCGCAAACTTAACCGCTACACCACTAGGCTGGCCCCTCACATATGTAATTTTAAATTTTCTAGTAACCACTTTTAATAAACCCAAAAGAAACAGATTAAATAAAATGTTATTAGAATTGATTTCAAACATATAAAATATTATTTAAAATGTAATTGCTATAAAAAGTTGGTAAACATATTCTTTTTTCTTACTAAGCCTTCAAAATTCAGTGTGTATTTTACACTTACAGCACATCTTAATTCGGACTGGTCACATCTCAAGCTCTCAGCAGCCACATGAGGCTGATGGATACTGCATAAGAGTGCAGGTCTAGAGGCCTGATCAGATTCAGGTTCAATGTTTTGGGGATGAACACTTTCATAATGGCTGATTGTCTCTTTTTGGTATGTTAGCAGTCATTGATGATCACTGCTTAGGTATATTCATTACGGGTTGCAAAAAGTGATACTTAAATTCTTTTATTCCTTCGCATTCAATTGCTGGTTATTTATATAAAGAGAAGCTTCCTCTCGTCACTTATTTGGTTACAGTGAAGTACATTTCATATAGGAAAAAGTATGATGAGTGCTTGATTCTTTCTCTGTATTTAATTTTCAAAACAATAAAAGTAGGTTCTGTCGTATCCTCCAAAATTAGATGTTGATGGTGGTTTTTTTTTTTTAAATGTATCTGGGATTTGAAATATTTCAATCCATTTCCATTTTTATTCCTATTGATGCCCAAATTGTCACTTTTTACCAAGTGGGAGCCTCTTCAAGTTAGCTCCCGAATGTCTCTGCCTGATCTTAACAGCCTTTGATAGTTTCCTTTCTTTCTGGTATGATGAAATCTTCCAGGCTCATCATGTGCATTTGCTGCCCAGACCTGGAATTGCCCATTGCCCTAAGGAGCCTTGGATCCTGTTGGCAGGAAATATGTTTAGAGGCCTCAATCGGGACACTCGGGTGTTTATTGCAACTTTCTTTTGTAAAGATAAAATGCACCAAGAGTTCATATCAGTAATTCCAGTTCAATTACAAAATTGTAAGACTTTTAGAATCATCGATCTTTTACCTCTAACTTCTTTTTCTCAAACTAAAATCTCAGTTCCCAAAAAATTTTCCAATAGCAAGATAACTTCTTATTTCCTTATCTGGTAATACAGATGGCACTACCACCAACAATATGGTTACTGAGAATGGTTTTCAGTAAGATACGTTTTACAGTTCTTTGTGTCCTTAGTGTATATCCCACTAGGGATAATGCCAGTCAAAATACTGTGTTCTAAGACACTTGATGTACTTCTTCTCCATGTGGTTATGCCACCAACTAGATAGCAGTTAGATTTGTTTCGTTTTGTTTTCAATTTTTAGGGTTGCTTGTTCATTTGTTCTCTAACCACAAGAAATCTTAAATGGTTTAGTGGCAAATCTGTAAAAAAAGATAACAAGGTATAGTCAGGCACTTCTAGCCTCTCTTCCTTTCCTCTTTTGCTTTTTTCTCTCCCTACCTCTTTGAGTCCTTTTTCTTTTTAAGTTTTTGGTTTATACTCAGGAAACTTTGACATCTATTTAAAGAATTTACTCATTTAATGAATATTTAAGTATTTAGTACATACCCTGTACTTTGTTAGATTCTTGGATGCTTAAAGGTTGTCTGGGACATAGTCTTTACCTTCTGGAAGCATGTAGTCAAAGAGAAGGTTTTTATATGGAAGTATTAGGATATAGCTTGCTGTAGAAGGCTGGGGTCAAATTACAGAGATTTTTTCAGTCAGCCTAAGGAATTCATACTTCATCCTCTGTGTAGTAGGTGTCAATTATTTTTTTAAATCTAGGTAAGGACATATTTAAAGTAGTCTTTGTAAGCAAAATGAATCAATTCCATGTCAGATATGGATTGAAGTAAAATGAGATATAGTTTAGGCAGGAGCCCCAGTAAGTATTCAGTAAGTATTTGTTGAATGAATAAGTGTAATAATAAGCCCACAGCATTGGGAATGACATGGAAAGGCTAGAGACATCCTGAAGTAACAATCTATGGAGATTTGAATTTTTAAATGGCAGGGAATAAGAAGAATTGAAGATAGAGGATACAGCTTAAGTATGTGGGTGAGCAGAATTCCCACTGTTATACATTCAGAAGGAAGAAGATGAGTTTAGTTTTATTAGACTGAGAAATAAAGGCTAGGAAGAAAAGTTATCCATCCCTCTACATTAATAGTTGGAGCTAGATAAGAGACAATCTTGGAGGGAGAAGAAGTAAAAAGATGAGGACAGATGTCACCAATCTTAAGAAAGCCCACACTTAGGATTAAGGAGAGAAAAAGGAGCCAGTGAAGGAGAAAGAGAAGTAGGAGTCAGAGAGGTAAGCAAAACATCTAAGAAAGTGAAATCTCACTTAAGGAAGAAGTTCTCTGGTGGGGTGATAATCCCTTGGTGAAATGCTGCAGAGATGACAGTCAAGTTACTAACCATAAGCCTGCCTTACCAGGCCACAGATCCCTACTCATATCTGCTCATTTGTTTGCACATCTGTTCTTCTACAAGAGAGATTCAGTATCTTTATTTTCTGGTCTTGAAGAAAATGTTTATAATTTTGTCTACAGATGCTAGTGGCACCTAGATCTACCATTAATGATAACTTTAAAACTGTTCTTAGAATAATGGTATAATTGGGGTTGTGATTTTATTCTGTTTTCTTGATTTATAAAAATGAAAAATAATTTTTCCAGGACCTTGTAAAATCTCAGTGTCATCACAGGAAAGTTAGTCTTCTCTATGCGTTGTAGCATCGGCATCAAAAGCTCTTTAGCATGCTTTTTAGCCGTATGCTTCTCATATGGGATAGACGTGCTAAGAGATGGACTTTTTATCCCTAAATTGATGTTTTTCCCCTTCAAATCACCTTCCTCTAGACAGCAGGTGCTTTAATGGTTGTGCAACTTTGGGGAGTCCCTTTAGGGAATTTCCTGTTTTTCCCTTTTACATTTCACACCCATTCCTTGCTCCCGCCGCTACCATCTGCTATCTCTTTTCTCCTGTTCAGCATTGGCTTCTTCACACCCCACTCCCACGCCCTTTTCCATCTCTCTCCGTCTGTCCAACAGCCCTGTGCTTAAGATTGCTCCAATGCTTGTACATGGCTCAGAGAACTTTCTCTTTTCTATCAACTCACTAAGCTCAAAGGAAAGGCAAAATTTACATGGCCTTCATCCAAGGCCTTTGTGAACTTGCCAAACATAAGCAAGCACAAGACAACATAGGTGCTGATTTGGGGAGCTTTTATTAAAGAGGGCTCAAATGTTCCAGTAACAACTTGGCAAGTCCTACATTTCCGTGCATGTACCTTATGCATGTATCAAGGTAAAATCTTTACCAGGGTATGAATTAAGTTTAATTACCCTTGTGTTTCTACAATCATAAGGGAGAATACACAGATCTACAAGTTAAACTACAAATTAAAGCACAGTGCTTGCATGCCATCAGCTGAATGATATACTACCTAACAATAAAACTTACATCAAGATTACCTTAGAAATCTAGTACTAAAAATCTACACGGTATAGTGAAAAGGTTCTTGTTGCAAAGTACTGAGGTACCTCATTGACCTTCTTTTAAATATGTGGAGTATTTGCATATGTATAGAATTTAAAATGGAATATTGAACAAATGAAATGTATGTGACTTGAACTCTTTTAAGGTTAGCACAGTGTGGTCTGAGTATCTGACTGTTTTTAGTATGTGATTATTTGACTATTTTATCCATCTGGCTGTTTTTAATGATTATAGAGCTAAGTCAGTGCTCTGAGCAGTTTTAGAAGAAGTTCTTTTTGCAAGCATTGGCATTTACTAACTATTTAAAATGACAAGGCAGAATTTAGAAATACCCCATCTTATTTTAAAATAAGAAACCCTGCATTCTCTATTTGAAACTGGTTAATTGAACAATGATCAGTTCAAACTGTGTACCCAGAGAAGAGTTGATGTGAGAGATTTGGGATATAGCTGCTGCTATTACAGATGCCATTTGTGTGGTATGTAAATGAATTTTGTTTTCAAAATGCTGATATCTGCTACAGGATATAGAAGCAGCAGAAAAGTCTCTGCAGACCCGGATTCACCCAGCTCCACCACCTGAGGTAGTTTCTCTTGAGGTGAGACTCTTGAGGAACAAATCTAAAAGAAGAGACCCTATTCTACTAGTAATGCCTTGTAAGTTAGTGGTTGTATGTGTGTATTTCCCAGATTTATTTAACCATTAAAATAAACAAGGTGTGTCTGATTGATCTTTATATGTCCACAGCACCATGCTTTGTAAGTGGTAGGTATTTGATAAATTTTTTTAAAATCAAGATACTTATCAAATGAAAATTTTATAAGGATACTGTGTCTTTCACCTCGTCACTTAGAAACAACTATCCTGTTAAAGCAAAACAGACAATATGCACTAAATCTTAAGATGACAGCATGCCTGACCAAAGTGCTTTTCCTGTTGGCTGATGTTAGAAGTAGCAGTTAACTCCCTTCACCAAAAATTCACCCAACGCTATTTAAATGCACATTATCATGCAGTCTAGTGTGGCTTTTGTCTGTTTTATTTTGCTCAGCTCAAGAACAGATTGGGAAGATGGTTGGCAAAAATAAACCATATTTGGCATATGAATGTATTTGTGATGAAAGGGAATTTACTACATATAGAATAGTTGGATTTATATTTTTAATGACCTTTTTCAAATACAGTTTTGCTTGCTGCCTAACCAGAGATGTGAATAGACTCAAAGGCTGAGAATTTGCCCCTCAATTTTCTGTGTCATCTTGAGTAATAAGTAAAAGGCAGTGATCAAGGGGAGAAAAAACTCTGGTACAAAGTTGTGCCTTGGGCATGTGTTTTTCTTTGTTGAATTCTCCAATACCTTACTCTGGCCTGTACTGGTCCCACACAATAGGGGTTAATCCAGCCGTGAATGGCGGAGAAACTCCCAACCACAGGCCTCGGTTGGTATTTTTCTTAGCTAGTCTTGCACAGCAGGATGACCTTTATTTTAAGTATGTCAGGCTATTTCTCAGACCACATGCATAGATGTGTAGATATACAGAATTCCTCACCATTTTCAACTTCTGGAACCCCAGCACCTTTTTAATGCTCAGAGTGAATAATTATGTGTTTTTAATGCTATGTAACTCTTTGGCTGAATTTCCCAAAATGAGATTGAATAGTGATGATCTATATAAGATGTCCTCCTATGGCAGAGAGCTTTTGGCAGTTACTCTTCTTTGGCCTCCTTAGGGCAGTCACCCCAGAAACCATCAAAGCTCGTAGACACGATATGGTGATGTTGCTTGCGCTTCTGTAGCTTAGAGACTGATACAGCCAGGCCAGTAATACAGCATCTCAACTTCCAAGCTATTTGAATTAAAAATGGGTAGATGATATTGATATTATTTTCTCATTATACAAAAACATTAGGGAAGAAATTACAATTTGCCATATCAAGTGCTCTTCTAACAGATATAGTGGGTGTGCATTTTTAATGATTTCCCCCATACACTTAAGGGGTCAATTCATCTGAATCCTATTATAACCACTAGTTAGTTATATTTCAGTTCCTGATCCCATCCGAGGTCAAATCTTTTTATGTTAATTCTAAAGCAGTTGTTCCTGTTTAATCATTTCTTTGTAATAATTTTAGTGTTGGTAACTATTTGGTATGGGATTTGGAATAATAAACAAAAACATTTAATGATTGTGTGGCCATAAATGATACCACTGGTAATAATCACCAGGTTGGCCACAAGAGGGCGTGTAAAATCACAATAAAATTCCAAAACCTGTAATTCTGCCAGGCTCTGGTTTTACTGAGAAATTTGAAAATTAACACTAGTAAGTAGCCAGATTTTTTTTCTAAAATTAACATAAAATATTCTGTAGAGGAAGTACATTCTACATATATGTGTGTGTGTGTGTGTGTGTACATGCACACACACTTAAGTGCATAAACATTTAGACTATTATGAAGAGCCAAGTTCAATTGCTTGATATGCTTTTTTACTTTTGGATGTTGTTTTTTTTCCAGACTCTTTACTGGGCATCAGTAGAAGAATATATTCCCAAATGGGAACAGTTTCTTTTAGGAAGAGAACCATATCCTATTGGTGTTGAAAATCAAAATGAAGCAGAAACTAACATTCAAAATGAGGCGCAGTGATAACTTCTTTACATACTATTTCAAAAAACATGTTGAGTAAAGCTGAATATTAAAGAATATGCAGGTTATTGCAGGAACTTCTGGAGTCGAATATGTTCATGACATGTGAACCTCCTCAGTGACAATGAAGATGTGAGAATCTACTGGCAGATCTCAGCTTATCCCTTGGAGACCTACTACTATTTCAACATCATGAATTTGCTTTCTACCAATCCCATGGAAGGGTTAAAAACTAATATCGAAAGGTGGACTGTTTATTAAATAAGTTGCTAAATGAGTGTTGTCTCTATTGTTTTGAAAAAATCATTTACAGTCATTCTCATCTAAACAGTGAATACTGGTTGTTAGTTCTGATTTCACATTTTCTAGACTCTTTGCTTTTCCCTTATTTTATTATGGGGACAAGGCACAGGATCAAAGTGGTTGTTTGCTCACTATTGTAGTTTCTTTTAACAAATGAAAAGACAGTCACACTTAACTACTTTAGTATAATAATATTTATCAGAATATAGATTCTTAGGATTTTTTCATTAATAGATAATCAAACTTCTAAAAGTTCTGGAGGAAAGAACTGAACTAGAAAGCATTTGGTAAGTTGCCAGTTTCAGGAGGGCTCAGACTTGGTTCTGAAAAAGGACCCCTATGAGAGCTGGAAATGGTTATTGGATTTTGACTTGGTTGTTTAAAGATGGCCAAGCCTGTGAATGCAAATAACTCCTCTCTAATCTTTTCATCTTTCAACATGTCCTCCCCTCTCCCTTATATTTTCATTATTTCTGAAACAGTTGTCAGTCAGAAAGCTTTAGGTCCCAACCCTACACAGTTTTGAGATTCCTCAGTCCCCCACTGCTTGAGCACTCAAAAAAAGATTATAATTTTTCTAATTATAGAGGCACCTTCTACTAGTAAAGGGAGTCTATGCCACATTACAATGAAAGATTTTAAATCTCAAAGTGGTTTGTGTTTTTAAAAGAAGACAATAGGACAAGCTAAAAACCACAACAAAAACAAAAAACCTGTATTAAAACGTCCATTGTGCTGGTAAGTTCCCTTAAACTACCATCTTGGAAATATGCTGTTGAGTGGGTGTTGGTGTGGGTAACAATAACGTTGTTTTCATAATATGCGCTGGCAGATTAGCACACTTCTCTACAGTGTTAACAGTTGTAATTAAGGAATAAACAGCACAGAGTGTCAGTCCGATGACAATTTCATCTATAGTGTCACAATACAAAATGTCACAAAATATTAGAACTGTTATATAACTATAAAAAGGATCGACTTAAAAGCAGAAAGCCCTTTAAAAAGGAAGACAGAGGAAGAAAAAAGAAAACTGGCATAGAGACCAGAACAATTTTATACCTTCTCAAGAATGTTCTGTCACGAAAATAAATTGATAATTTTTTTCCTGTTACATTGCAGTTTGGTTTCTAGCCATCCAGTTGATTTAGCAGGAGAATGCAGGGCTTTTTAGCAGCTTTGAATTGGTAAACAGATTTAGATGTAGTAGAAAGGAACATGAGGAAGTTTTTTTTTTTTTTAACATCCAATCTTTCCCAGCATATGCACATAAGAAGGTGAATGAAGCAATGTGAAACTTATTTCTCTTTAGTCAAGTGAAAAAAAGGCTAAACATTTGTTGAGATGGTAAAATATTGTGTCAAGCAAGTAGGCACATTCCAAAATTAAACAGTGGTTGATAGTTAACGTCCTCAAATATTTGAGCGTGCGCTTCCTTTGAGTTCTGTAAATTAAATCACCAGTAGGTTAGATTAAAATACAAAATGAATAGCAGTTTAACCATCTCAGAAAAGGTTCAGGTTTTTTCTCCCCTAAATTGACTAACTTGCTAAATTGTTTTTAAAAAAAGAGCCTAAGTTTAATAGACCCTGGGTTATGTTTTAGGGCAGAAGGGGAGGTATTTCTAGGCTCCGGCTATATCAATTCCCCCATTTCTTGTTAAAACCTCAAAAACTTCCAGAAATGACTTTATTCCTGGCCCCCACAGAACTTCCCCCCTCCCCTCCTTGTAGACTGTAACAGATTGCACCACATGGTGTATGTTTAAAAAAAAATTCCCATAGGGACCTGGATACCCCATTAAAGGGCTTTATATTCCTCATGGCAAATTAGCTTTACATGGGAATTTCCAAATATTGTTTTCTGTAAGGAGGGGAGAAATACCGTATCTAACGTATATTTTATTCACAATTAGTAGGAATCAGACAAGGAGAAAGAAATGTCATCTACTCATACCTTTTCCTCCCTAATTCAGTGCCCTTATCATACCTACATTGTGCCTACTATTCTTCATGATAACTATAAATTTCTATTTTTCTTTTTTAGAATAATGGGATTTTCAAAATAAAGATCAGTTCAAGAATTTGTTTTCACAGCCTTTCTGGGATTGTGGCAAATACATAAATAGTTAAAGCTCATTTTCTGCTGAAACACTTCTAGATATGAAATTATTAAACTATAAAATGCTAAAGATCAGAAGTAGCTGCAGGTTTTCTCCAAACTTCAAAAAAACAAATTTTACTAAGTACTAAGGAAAAAGCCTAATACTCTGGAAACCAGACATCTGGTCTATCTTATGTGTGGGGAGCAGTGTGAATGGAAGTGAAGTCAAACGGCCACAGCGTTTCCTCTGCATTACATACAAGGTGTTTAACTTGTCTGCTTAAGACTTCAATGAGAACAGTAGTCTTTCACTTTCTTCACAATTTTGTCTTCTCTGCCTCATCCTCCCTTTCCAGCAAAAAAAAAAAAAAAAAGAAAGTAATAAGGTGGATATGTGAGTATATTTATTTTTGAATCAATATTAAACTTATTTGGAGGTTATTTTGACACTTCTGAGATACTTGGAGACAGGCCAGGGGTGAGGTAGGGAGGGAGTATGTGAAAAACCAGGATTTGCAGTCACCAATTTTCGACAAGATACTGAGCTTCAAACCCACTGTCAGGTGGGTTTTAGTGTGTAAAATTTAATGCACAAGGCCATGAATTTGGCTTACCTACAAAACACGTTTTTTTTTTCTTTTCCTTCCTTGGGCTATTAATTTGTCTTTTTACTCTAACCCAATTCACACCCTTCTATTTTATTATTTTTGTAAAATAAATTTTTAAATACCCCTAAAGAGTCCCCCCCCTTTTCAAGAATTGCCCAAACATCGTAGCTACATGGCTTAAAACACTCTTCATTTCAATAGTCTATTTTGACCTCTTCCACTTTAATTAAGATACTAATTTTTTTTTAAGAGTTGCAGACCAAAATCTCTTCAGAGAAGGTAATAACTAGATGGTGAGTTCAAATAGGAAAAAAAGTCTGTGGAAAATATTGGAGAAGGTGAAGAGGAGAGAAATTACTTTGAGAAAGCCTCAAGTTGGCACAAGGGAGGGTGGTCTCTCTCTCTCTTTCTCTCTCTCTCTCTCTCTTTCTCTCTCATGGTGTTTTTGTTTGTTTCTCTTATAATTTAGAAGTTAATTTGTATACATAGGAAATTTAATTCCCTATTGCTAATAAAAGAACGTTTAGAGTTTTCTGGGACAAACATGGGACCTGTCAAACTTGAGCAATTAAGGAGAGGATTGATTTGCGGATTTGACACCTGGCATTGTGATCTCCCTTTCTAAGTGGAACTGAGATTATACCCTTACTAAAATCCAAGAAAAGGAAAATGACTTAACAAAGACAGAGGCTAAAAAAATGCTTCCGGACATCGTCTTACCTCTCAGAATCAAGTTTCCTGGCTTACAAAAAAGGGACCTGGTCTCCTACATTGTTATAATGTTTTAAAGTTCTTGCTATTTTAAAAACTCTAATTTGTGTCTTAGACAAAGACAGAGACTGCGACTGCTGAAGTAGTATCTGGATTGACCACAGTACAAATCAACAAATAGTTGCACAGAGGAAACAATGAAGAGTTCTTATTTTAGAAAGCGATGATGTGTTTCTGTGTTTTTGATGAAAACTGGGTCATTTAACCTTCACTGTTAAGGTCAAAGGACTTTTTATTATTTCTTCCTAAGTCTAGGTTATCAACATAGAAATTTTTCTGATGTTTTACATAATACCACTTTGGGGACAATACAGTCAAATTAAAAGGAGACAAAATTGCGTTTATATATTTTGTCTACTCCATCTCTATCTTCTTTCATCTCCCAATACAATACAATTATTTTTCATACCTTGTCTCCAACCACTTATAAGGTCTATAACACTTATATCCTTGTGCTAGAATGCTCTATCTCCGGAAAACAAATCCTGAGATATTCAAAAGAAGCCAAACCTAGAGCCTTTTAAAATGATATCCAGTAAGCATGGAGGTGGATAACATTTGAATACCATTCATTCACTCATTCAACAGATCTATTGACTGTCTCCTGTGTAGCAAATAGAGTTCTAAGCACCAAGAATACCACGATAAACAAAACAGCCAAAAAAATCCATGTCCTCATGGAATTTCCATTCTGGAGGGGGTGGTAAGTGGAGGGCGTTGAAGGTAGTGATAAATAAACAAACAAAAGTAAAAATATATTAAATGGTGATGAGGTCTAATATAGTATGGACATGTAAAATGTCTTCTCAATGGAAGAAAATGAAGCAGATTTCATAGTTTCTCAGAAAATATGATTAGAACAGACAGACTTTTCTTCCTATTCAAAGATCTTGCGTTAGGGTTTTTCAGTGAAGCAACATTTCCACTGCTACTAATTTGGAAATTGTGTAAGCTTAATGGATAGGTTTATGATAAAGAATGCAAAAAAAAAAAAAAATCCTCAATACTCCAGTAGGTATTGGTACAGCAGTGTTCATAGCAGCATTATTAACAATAGCCAAAAAGTGGAAACAATCCAAATGTCCACAGCAGGTTAAATTAATAAACAAAACGTGGTATACAAAAAAAAAAGCAAGGATAGCTGTACTTATGTCAGGCAAAATAGACTTTAAGCCAAAAACAGTAACAAATGACAAAGAAAGTCATTATATAATGATAAAGGGGTGCATTCATCAAGAAGATATAATAATCATAAATATATATACACCCAACACCAGAGCACCTAAGTATGTTAAGCAAATACTAATACATCTGAAAGGAGAAATAGCCAACCACACAGTAATAATAAGGGACTTCAATACCCCACTTTCAGCAATGAATAGATCATCCAGACATAAAATTAACAAGGAAACATTGGACTTGAACTATACATTAGACCAAATGGACCTAATAGACATTTATAGAACATTTCATCCAACAGCAGAATACACATTCT